TCAAAACTAATGCTTTGATGATGATACCTGTTACAAAGCAATGTCACATGGATTAGACTGTCTTTTCCTCTGGAACCTGCCTTTCTTCTGGGGGTTCTGCAGGTCTCTGGAATCCGGAGAATTGTACAGGGTGGGATCTTAGTACCTTTTGTGATCTGCTGAACTTACATTTGTTTGCAGGAGTATAGATGCCTAAGTGTAATGTGACCCTGGAAAGTATGTAACAACTCATCTGTGTTCTCTGAAAACAACTTCCATCCATCAAATGGGAGATCCTTGACTGGGAAGCCAGACAACTGTAGTCAGGAAGCCCTGCTCGTCACCACCACCATAGAAATAGAATGGGCTTTGGTGTCTGCAGTATTGAGTGCTGCCTGCAGCAACGTTCTTTCCAATAACTGTCCCTCAGCCATACTTGCCTCAAATTGTTCCCTTTGATCTAGAGGAAGGTGTTCAATAAATGACCATATTTCATGTAGCTGGTGAAGTTGTACTTGGCCATCAATGCTTAGTAATTTGTAATGAGTAATTGCAGCATAGCCAATGAATGGGCCTTCCTTCACAGGAGGTCCAGGGGTTTTTGGTCTCTGTCAGATAGGATGGATTTATGATGGCATTGTTTGCCCCACTTGTTAACCACATCAATGAAAAGAGAATTGGGAGGTGGGTGGGAAAAGAGGAATTCAGAGTTCTTGGTGGGGATAGAATATTTCTTGTGGGCCCTTTTACAAGTGGGTGTTAGGTAGCCAGGGTTTGCCAGATAGCATGTTCCAGTAGTCTCATTAACAGAGAGGGCAACTGTAGAGGGTGTCGGAGTGTAGAATGTTCAACAGCTTGTGCTGGGGTTCTCCAACCTCCTCAAGGGGTATCTGCAGAGAGTCTGCCACCTGCTTAACAAGGTCCTGGATTGGCTATTGAAGGAGGAGGCGGCGGCATCAGGGCCTCATCTGGCAAAGAGGATGAGAAGGTGGTTTGAGGCATGGCTTCTTTGTCCACCCTGGCCTCCTGCTCCTCAAATATTTCCTCCTGTTGCTGTGGGGGAAGAAGCTTCGTTCTCCCTATCATCCCAAGGGGATAAGGTCAGGCCCTAGGAAACAGGTGATAATAGGGGTTCTAGCATGGCCATGCAGGGGAAGGGGTGGCATCCAGGGTTGCTCCCACCAGGAATAATGAGATCCCAGAGCATCTTCCCTGCCCCTTTGGGAGAAGGGGTTAGTGTAAGGGCATACTGGAGAACCCTGTACTGAAATGGAAGCAGCAGAAGGTAGGTCATCATCAACATCCTCTTTTTCTAATGGGTTTCAGAGGAACAGCCGTGTTAGTCTATATTCGCAAAAAGAAAAGGAGTACTTGTGGCACCTTAGAGACTAACCAATTTATTTGAGCATGAGCTTTCGTGAGCTACAGCATGAGCTACAGCATGAAAGCTCATGCTCAAATAAATTGGTTAGTCTCTAAGGTGCCACAAGTACTCCTTTTCTTTTTTCTAATGGGGGAATTCCTACAGAAAAGGGGGTCAATGGTACCGGGGACACAAAAAAGATCCAGAGACCAAGAGGTTCTTGGTAGCAAAAGATATTCACTACCTTCTGGAGACTCTGGTTGAGCTGTCACTGCCAAGTCTTTCTAGTATCTGAAGTCCTGTGGTACTGAATGGTGCTGTTTATCCTTGTCCAATGGTACCAGAAGCTTAAGGGGCTTTGAAGCTGGCATTGAAGAGGTTAGAGGCGTACATGATATTGTGACACTTGGTAAGGGCATCGAGACACGAGTCAGAGTTGACAGCATAGATCTTCTATGTTCGATGCTGTCCCCAGCCAAGGGTGCCAGGGTCTTCCTAGAGCGCTGTTTAGCCTTAGAGCTGTGTTTTCTAACATCCCCCCCTCAGAGGGGCCTTTCCCCTATACAGTACCGAGCCTCAAGGAAGACCTTTTTGAGGCTATAGATCTGGCTGGAGACCGAGATCTTTTTGAGGGAGAAGCCCTGGGAGGGGAACTAGATCTCCTCTTCTGAGAGGATTTGGGAGGAGGGCTCCAAGCATTTCTTCCTGCTAGGAAAATGCTGCACCAAGGTGGATGGGGCACTAGAAACTCTGGAGACTGATGTTCAGAGGGGTCCTGACCTGGTTCCAAAGGAGGGCAGAGGGCACACTTAATCATGAGGAGTTGAAGTTTGACTTCTTAGTTATTCCAAACCCTAGATTTCAGGGCTAGATGGAAGTTGCACTTCTGTGGCATATACGACTGGCCCAGGCAGTGAATGCCTGTTATCAACTGGGATGGCCTCTTTACACAAGAGGCAGTGTTTAAACTCCAGTGAACCAGGCACATGCCTCACAGGGAGAATTTCCCTGATGAGAACAGAACAACTCTTCAAAACCAAAAGGAGAGGGTTGTTTTATTTTGAACACTAAGCTAACTACAACTAACAAGCCAGTTAACTAAACTAAAGAGAAGCTCCATAAACGCCAAAGTAAGCAAGAAATAAACATGCTAGCTCCGTCTCGAGCTGAGGTGGTTGAGAAGGAACCGAGGGGGAGGTTTGCCCACACAGCCTGATATAACCTCAGTGCAGGGCAAAGGATACCAACAGCACATGCCCAGGCCAAGTGGACACTGCTAATGAAAATCTCCAATCAAGGATGCATTAGGCACATGTGCACCAAGAGTGGAGCACTCATAGGGATACTACTTGAAGAACCAAACTTTTTTATAGTACTAGTCTTAAGGAAAATTGGCAGAAATGTATCTGGTACAAAAATGCTGTGATTACAACCTGAAAATTTAATCATCTTTAAGAATCTTTAGTTCCTCTCCCCCATCAATTTGTGAGAGTTTCATTTTAGTTTTATCATAATAGTCTTTAAATAAAAATAAGTTATACAGATAATATTGTACTATGAAGGAAGAACAGAAGAAACTTTCCCATATGGATTGTCTTCATGCATGGGTTTTAATTACTAAACATTTGGTAGCCTATATTTTTAAATAAACTTTAAATAAAATCCCTACCCTATTCGGAGAATAAAAGTTTTTGTTTTCTCCTCTTATTGTTTTAATTAAAAAAAAAAAAGAAGAAAAAGAAAGGATAACTATCCAGTTCCCGAAAAAGGACATTATTCAATTTGAAATTCCTGTGGTGTTGCATTCTGGGCAGCAATCTTGGGTGATGGGTGAACCCTGGGCTCGGTGAGGCTAGCTCCCAGCCACTCCTTCTGCCCGAGGCCCCACCCCCCCACTCCCATCCCCACCCCCGGCACATGGGGTGGAGTCCCTGGCTGCAGGCCAGCCACAGCGGAAGAGCCCCACGAACCAGGAGGGAGCCTGGAGGTGGAGCTTGGGCAGGGCCACGCAAGGCTGTTTGCAGAGGCTCAGCCTCCCCCTGCCTTTGATACCCGCCGCCCATTGCAGCATTTGTTGCATGTAAAAGGGAAAGATTCACATGCTGCGCAAAGCACCCCTAAAGAAGCTTCCTCTTTTCATGCCATACTGCTCCCTCAAATTTTCTTTCTAAGGAGGGTACTCACTTTAAGACCTTTAGGTTTCATGCTAAGCAGATTAACTGCATCAACACTCTTCCCATAAGCCTAATTACCATATGATACTCAAGTGGTGCTGAGTCTTCTGCTTCTGAGAGAAAAGACTGGTGGGAAGTAACTCTTTAGAATGGGGTGCAGTAGGCACAGCTGAATAGCACAGGTCTATGCAGCCCCCCATGAGTCAGTAATAGCAGAGGTAAAGTTAGAGAGCTCTAAAATGCACAAAATACAGAAGTTTTTATTTTCTCTTTGTTCCTATTATTTTAAACAAATCCAACTCTACAGTTTCTCTTCCATAAAAACATCTCCGCAGGCTAGATCTTCAGGTGGTGTAAGTTGGTATAGCTCCACTGAAGTCACTAACTTACACCAGCCAAGAATTTGGATCCTTACTCCTATAAATAAATTGGAATTTGTTGTTTTAAGAGTTTTTAAGAAAGAGGTTGATGCAAATATTTCACAACTTACAATGATATCCACTAAAACCTAACACACACAGTTCTGTTTTGGGGATTTTCTGAGAGATTTCTACAGAATGAAAAAGGTTACTTTGAATAAGCTCATGGTTCACATTCCTGCCATTTTCATGAATTTGCCACACACAAAAAGTTGCGTTTTACCAGCATAAAATAATAACATTTCAGTATAATGAGGTGCTTTTGTTTTTAAGTAGAGGAACAATATATTTAGTAGAAGCTGCTGCAGCTAAAAAAGCTTCACAGTAACAGGTAATAGATACAGTAGTAAACACTTAGTACAATAGCTATATTTCTGGAGACATTTCAATTTTCTTAGGATTTAACTGAAAATTCTTTAAAGCTCATACTTTCCTGCAGCAAATAAGCCTTTAACACAATTGTTTAAATATTAAATTAATATTTATTAGCATTAAATAATGCAAACCTTGGTTAGTCTCTAAAGTGCCACAAGTACTCCTTTTCTTTTTGCAAACCTTCTGTAATGTCACAGACACAGTACTCCTAAACTAATTGTTTTCTCTTTTCTAACCAAAAATCCCAGATAAGAGTTGTTTGGAAATTGAGTATCAGGCAACTATGCAAGAGCAGTACTTGGAATACATTTTACTAAATAGCAGGTTTCAGAGTAGCAGCCGTGGTAGTCTGTATCTGCAAAAAGAAAAGGAGTACTTGTGGCACCTTAGAGACTAACAAATTTATTTGAGCATAAGCTTTCGTGAGCTACAGCTCACTTCATCGGATGCATTCAGTGGAAAATACAGTGGGGAGATTTATATACACAGAGAACATGAAACAATGGGTATTACCATACACACTGTAACGAGAGTGATCAGGTAAGGTGAGCTATTACCAGCAGGACGCTCACCTTACCTGATCACTCTCGTTACAGTGTGTATGGTAATACCCATTGTTTCATGTTCTCTGTGTATATAAATCTCCCCACTGTATTTTCCACTGAATGCATCCGATGAAGTGAGCTGTAGCTCACGAAAGCTTATGCTCAAATAAATTTGTTAGTCTCTAAGGTGCCACAAGTACTCCTTTTCTTTTTACTAAATAGCAGTCACTGTTCAAACTTAAGTGTTCCCAGACAATCAGTAGCACATCCTGAAAAAACAAACAGCACTATTTTTCCAGCCAGTTGAGTACAAGAAGTTAGACTCAACTGGGGTAAACTAACAAGCTACAAAAAACCGCTGTTAGATATTTCTCAGAAGTGATATACAGCACTGAATTCTTACTAATACTTAGCACTTTTGTAGTGCTTTACATCTTCAAAGTGCTGTGCAAATGTTAATTATAGAAAGAAAGTTGGTGCTCAAAGAGAGAGCATATTTCCCAAAGTGGAGGGTGACCAGAGGAATGGCACTACTATAGCAGAGATAATGGCAGGAGGAGGAAATTTAAATATTTAGGAATGACTGAATTTTATATATTAATTAGCTATTACAGAACTGATATTGAACACTACAGATGAGGATGTCTGGAAATTACATCAACACCTTTCAGACAACAGATTTCTGTAGCCACAAATAATCAATTCTGGAATTATAAATGGCTCCGTGGCTTCAGATTGCCTAATTTAGAAATCATGAGGAATGCACAGGGATCAGCTTCTCTGTAATCTTTAAAACAAGTGACTTCCAAGGACTATTATCCTTAGACATCAATGCGAATTCCATGTTTTATAGACATTAGTTCTCCAGTACCTGTTAAATACATAACAAATGAACACAGATGAGGTAAAGATGCTGTGATTGCCACATAAAGCCAGTATGGCAAGGGAGCAGTTTTTCCAAACGGACAGATCCAAAGGCCATGACGAATTCCATCACGGACATGGTGAGAAGTCCAGGATATACACAACATCCAGGGAAGAAAGCACCATGAGTCCTTAAGCCTGAAAAGGTGCATAATAAATTTTAATGTCACAGCCACAACAGGAATCACAGTAGAACAATGAAGAAGTGGTCTTTGTGGAAGAGTCAGAGCAGCCTGTGGAAAGGAAAAAATACAGTTGGCAACCAGCACCATCATGACAAGGTAAAAATGCTTCTTGGATGTTTACAGATAAAATATCAAGTGAACAAAAACCATTTGTTTCCCACAGAAGTGCAAATAAAAGCTGTTTTTCCTATTATCTTTATTCATTTCTCCCTCTCAAGATTTGAGATAACTGTTCTTATCCAGAGTAGCAGCCGTGTTAGTCTGTATTCGCAAAAAGAAAAGGAGTACTTGTGGCACCTTAGAGACTAACCAATTTATTTGAGCATAAGCTTTCGTGAGCATAAGCTTTCATGAGCTACAGCTATGCATGATGCATCCGATGAAGTGAGCTGTAGCTCACGAAAGCTTATGCTCAAATAAATTGGTTAGTCTCTAAGGTGCCACAAGTACTCCTTTTCTTTTTGTTCTTATCCAATATGCTGCTGTGGTGGAATTCAATATACAGCATATAAAACAAACAGGAAATACACATCTGTACAATATACTATTTAAAAAAACCACCCAAACGCATCTTGCATTAAATTAAATTTACTGTGCTGAAATCTATTAATTTGTCAATATTAGATATACCTTATTTAATCATAGTAATAATTTCTAACAAAGCAAAATGAATAAAATCCAATTAAAAACACCCACCAGCTCATTTTGGCTGTCTTCGTGTCTCAGTATTCCTTGTTTATGGACAAAGAACATTTTCAAATGCTAAAAATTGTTTACATGTATTGTTAAGGTCAACATGAAATTTTTTAAGATCAATTGTTGGCTAATAACCATCACATTGAATTTGCTTAATATTAACTCAGTTCAGTAACAAGTGGATATTGGCTTCTGTTGAGGTATTTGTCAAGACAGAATAATAAAAGTGTGAGATTTTGCTTAAGGTGAGATCAAGTGGCCTGTTTGTCACAAGAGGATCAATAAATGTTCACCATGTATGTATGTACTGGGGAAGACATTGCAAATGTGCCTATCAGAAATACCTAAAACTTTCTCCGTTATGTGTGCAGCCACACATTTCTTTAGCATAGCAATTTTTTAATATTCTAATATTCTAAAAGGGAAAGAAAAATAGCTGTTCAAAAGAACTACTGATCTCTCATGCAATCCGGAAGCAAGGATTTGCATCTTCACTGACTGGCTGCAACATGAATTCAGGTAGAACTTATTAACAAGGCAGGATGTGTTCACTCTAATGGAATGCCTTGTGTATAACCCCTCCGAATTCCTGAAGAGGATTTTGGAACAACTAAAAAAGAAACTACCCACAGAGAATCTTTCCCAAGTTTTACATAGAGCTCACAGTATGCTGGGATAGGAGTTTGGGAGTTAATCATTGCTTTGTGACTATCCATGTAGGTTAAAACATGATCAATAAAGCTAACACAGATGTACACTTCAATACAGAGTCTCCGTACTTTGATTTAAGGAGCTCTCAAAAATCTATTAATTTTTATAATTGCTTTTATAGAATGTAATTGCACACAAAAGTCCAAGACAGGCACTCAACAAATTTAAATAGAAAATAAAAACAATACTATTCAAGACTTCAGAGCAAGTTAAAAAAATAGAAACTTTGTCTTGCCATGTGACTGTCAGCCCTTCAGTAGCAAGACTATTCTTTTTTCTATATAAAAAATGGTAGTGGCAAGGTTCCAAAGAACCTTTGTCCACATGCACACAGACCACTAGCAAAAGCTGATCAGTTATCCTAGAATCATAGAAGATTTGGGTTGGAAGAGACCTCAGGAGGTTATCTAGTCCAACCCCCTGCTCAAAGCAGGACCAACACCAAATAAATCATCCCAGCCAGGGCCTTGTCAAGCCAGGTCTTAAAAACCTCTAAGGATGGAGATTCCACCACCTCCCTAGGTAACCTATTCTAGTGCTTCACCACCTTCCTAGTGAAATAGTGTTTCCTAACATCCAACCTAGACCTCCCCCACTGCAACTTGAGACCATTGCTCCTTGTTCTGTCATCTGCCACCAGTGAGAATGGCCGAGCTCCATCCTCTTTGGAACCCCCCTTCAGGTAGTTGAAAGCGGATATCAAATCCCCCCTCACTCCTCTCTTGTGCAGACTAAACAAGCCCAGTCTCCTCAGCCTCTCCTCGTAAATCATGTGACCCAGCCCCCTGATCATTTTCGTTGCCCTTCACTGGACTCTCTCCAATTTGTCTACATCCTTTCTGTAGTGGAGGGCTCAAAACTGGACGCAATACTCCAGATGTGGCTTCACCAGTGCCGAATGGAGGGGAATAATCACTTCCCTCGATCTGCTGGCAATGCTCCTATGAAGTTATTTAGTGTTTTGTGGTGATCAAGAAAGAGTAGGCTGTACTGTGTGATCTCATCAACATGACCAGTTTCCTACAGAAGAAGCTTGCATGTGAAGGCATCAGCAGAAGAGGATATAGGGTGGGAAGGGGTGATGAGGAAGGAAACAGCAGGGACCATTGTTGAACAAAGTACCCTTATTACTGCTGATTTTGTTCCCATAAAACCAGACAGAAGCACTAACGGGAATACTAGCAGACATCTTTAGGAAAGAGTGACACAGAGCTGGCAGCAAGCATATTGGGCCTTTCAGGGTGAGGGGGCTTATTTCTTGTTAAGCTAAAGATCCAGAGTAGGTTTGGTGGTTATGGAGAACAAAGCTGCAGGATCCAGATTCATACCGATTTAATCTATAAATGATTATACAATGGAATTAACAGAAAAAATTAGGGCTGTCGATTAATCACAGTTTTAATCACACTGTTAAACAATGGAATACCAATTGAAATGTATTAAATATGTTTCTATATTTTCAAATATATTGGATTTAAATTATAACAGAATATAAAATGTACAGTGCTCAATTTATTATTTTTTGATTACAAATATTTGCACTGTAAAAATGATAAAGAAATAGTATTTTTCTATTCACCTCATACAAGTACTGTAGTGCAATCTCTCTATCTTGAAAGTGCAACTTACAGATGTAGCGTTTTTTTTGTTACGTTACTGCACTCAAAAACAAAACAATGCAAAACTTTAGCACCAATAAGTCTACTCAGTCCTAGTGACCGTCTGAACAAGAAGTAAGACAAACAAGTTTGTTTACATTTATGGGAGATAAGCTGCCTGGTTCTTATATACAATGTCACCTGAAAGTGAGAACAGTCGTTTGCATGGCACTTCTGTAGCTGGCATTGCAAGGTATTTACGTGCCAGATATGCTAAACATTCGTATGCCCCTTCATGCTTCGGCCACCATTCCAGAGGACATGCTTCTATGCTGATAGGGGGAGAACCGTATGTCTCCTGCTCTGTTTTACATGCATTCTGCTACATATTTCACGTTATAATGGTCTTGGATGATGACCCAGCACATGTTGTTCGTTTTAAGAACACTTTCATTGCAGATTTGACAAAACACAAAGAAGGTACCAATGTGAGATTTCTTAAGATAGCTACAGCACTCGACCCAAGGTTTAAGAATCTGAAGTGCTTTCCAAAATCTGAGAGAGATGAGGTGTGGAGCATGCTTTCAGAAATCTGAAAAGAGCAACACTCTGATGTGGAAACTACAGAACCTGAAACACCAAAAAAATAAAATCAACCTTCTGCTGGAGGCATCTGACTCAGACGATGAAAATGAACATGCGTCGGTCCGCACTACTTTCGTTATTGAGCAGAACCCATCATGAGCATGGATGCATGTCCTCTGGAATGGTGGTCAAAGCATGAAGGGACATATGAATCTTTAGTGCATCTGGCACGTAAATATATTGCAATGCCAGCTACAACAGTGCCATTGAACGCCTGTTCTCACTTTCAGGTGACATTGTAAACAAGAAGCAGGCAGCACTATCTCCTGCAAATGTAAACAAACTTGTTTTTCTGAGCAATTGGCTGAAGAAGAAGTATGACTGAGTGGACATGTAGTTGCTAAAGTTTGACATTGTTTTACTTTAGAATGCAGGTTTTTTGTACATAATTCCACATTTGTAAGTCCAACTTTCATGATAAAGAGATTGCACTACAGTACTTGCAATAGGTGAATTGAAAAATAATATTTCTTTTGTTTAGTACAGTGCAAATATTTGTAATAAAAATAACTATAAAGCGAGTACTGTATTCTGTTTTGTGATTGAAATCAGTATATTTGAAAATGTAGAAAACATCTAAAATATTTAAATAACTGGTATTCTATTATTGTTTAATCGTGATTAATTTTTTAATCGCTTTACAGCCCTAGAAAAAATAAAAGTTTATTTCATATATAATTGTTATAGGTTGGGCTAAGTCTTGTTGAAACTGGTGGTGTAACAGCCACCTTTCATTCATAGATAAGTGTAAAGAACCACTGATCTCATTTATGAAACCAGATAGGTGAAACTACGGGAGCACCACCCAAAACACAGGCACATGGTAAAGTCTGTGTAGAAGCTGAACCTTGTGACCCAAGGGATTTCCCTGGGGACTGATATAGTGAATGCAGGAACTAGGGGATTGACTGGTGGAGCTGGGTGTGAGCATGACAGAAAAATACACAGAAAGACACAGAGAAGGAGCAGACAGCCAAGGAGACATCCAGAACAAGCACTGGGACCATAGCCCTTAGAAAAAGCCTACAGAGAAAACTTTTTGGATACAGTAGAGAACATGCTTTTAGAATACAGTGATGGCGGAAACTAGGCTTGGAACTGTAAGTAGAGAAACTCTTTTCTGATTCCTATTGTGTTCAGTGAAACAGGACTTGGTACATTCTTTGTAAATGAACAGAACTGCATCCAAGAAATATCTGATTCCACCAACAATTTCTCTTCCTAACAAAAATTACTTGAAAGATCCTGAATTTTGGAAACTGCTCTCAAGTCAAAAAGGGGATAACAATGCTACACAGAACTGATCCATTCCTAAATGAAAAAATCATGTTTGTAATTTTTGTTGATTCAAATCTTTAGTGTAAAAGGATCTCATACCAGAGTGTGGGCTCATTCCAAGTGCTGACATCACAGTGCTAAAAGTAAAGGCTATTCCATTGTAAGAATTCCTGTCCTACATACGAAATGTTAAACTGAGTAGCTGTCCATCAACAGGCAACCTGGACAGTCTCAACTATCCAAGGCACATTTTAATAGTAGTAAATGATAAACCTACTGAGCAAAATTCTCCATGACTAATCCATTTATCTACAGTTACTCTGTTATTAATACTTAACTCATTACTCTGACTTATCTAGAGAATGAAATGTGCTACTTAAAAGTAAAATTTTGTAACAAGAATGAATAAAAGGATTTCTTAGATACTTTTAAGTACTTCAGGAGTGCCCATTTCTAACAGAGAAGAAAATACATTATCATGCTACTGCTGAAGTTAATGGTAAAGTGACCACTGACTTCAAGTGTAGGATTAGGTCCTACAGATTTATGTTGAAGAAAGAAATGAACAATATGACATCTTACTGGTGTCAAAGGATGTTATTCTTTATTCCTTTCTTCATTAGTGCAGGTACTTTTCATTATTCAAATCTTGAGGTGAAAAGTCTTAATATAGTTCCTCTATACCGTAGCTAAAGAAACAATTGTTCTTGTCACAATCCTTTCATAAGCATACTGTTTTTCACTATCTATTGTAATACTGGGTGTTGAATTTTCATAATATATAATGACTGTCAGAGTTGGAATTTGAAAAAAACATACTATTTTACTAGACTACAAACTAACAGCAAGAAAATTAATGTCCATGTTTAATACAAAATTTCAAACAATAAATGCATTTAAAAAAATAAAGTATAATCATTCACAAAAGTAGGTTCAAGCAGAGTACTGTAGTTGAAAACAGGAATGATAGTACAAGCTGGAGTACTGTACATGCAAATATTATCTTTTTTGCACTGACATACTATTGGTGAAATTTTGCCATCTACTGGAAATAGTTAAGAAAAGGCTTATTTTCAGAATATTCCTGTTGAGAAAAAAAAGCCTCAGGATAGCGAATAGATTTTAAAAAAAGAAAAAATACTAGGTTTTAAAAATAATTAGTATTTAGTGACTCACATATACAAAGCAGTTTTTTAAAAATAAGTGGATGAACAGATGACAAGTATTCATTAAAATAAATTCTGGCTAAACTTTTTGGGACACGGACAACCTGAAAACTAGTCAGTTTCAAATAATGAGTTAAGTGCCCTCTGGCAATTTTGTGGTTTTAAAATATTTTTCTATTTAAAATTCAAAAGTGTTCTGCCTTTTCTGTTATATGAAAGTCCCACAGAAACAAAAGGGGAAACTGACTATCCAAAGAGTACAGTCAGATGCACAAAGTACACAAACTGAAAAAACTGAGATTTCCCTCTCTAATCTTTCATTTATAGTAATTGTAGGTATATCTTGTAAGAATAGGAGGTACAACATTTTCAATCACAAGTATGATTTTAAAATCTCTGTTACGAATAATAGTGCCTTTTACACAAAAACTTCCTTACAAATTTAATTTAGAAAATTCAATTTTTCCCAAGTTGAAACATTTTTATATTGTTCTTTACTTTTTATTAGCTTTAACTTATGTGTTACACAGAACACTCAAATCTGGTCCTCTCCACGCTGTAGCTCACGAAAGCTTATGCTCAAATAAATTGGTTAGTCTCTAAGGTGCCACTAATACTCCTTTTCTAACTGCTTCTTGAGTACCTCCTAATGGTAGTTGGCTATGAACATCAAATTGTTAGGAGTGAGATTTTTCAAATGCTGGTCTCCATTTTTCCTCCACAATTTGCAAGCACAAATAATTGCAACACACAAGTGACTTTATATAGCTACAAATAGCTGTGGTCCTAAAATTCGCCTGTAATTATTTACACCTCCCCCCCACCACCACACTTCCTTCTGCAGGTGCAAAACAGAGCCCTAGCTAGGCTTAATTTTCAACCTGTCAATGCCTATTCTTATTTCACAGTCAATCTTATTTAAACTAAATAACAGTTGGACGTTCTGTCATCTGGCTGCTTTTACTACTTATTCTAAAAGAAAAAAAGGAACAATCTCATTTAAATAGACACAAAGTGTATGAAGCTACACATAAAAGTGTAACTTGGCTAATAAAGCGAGTGATATACAAATGTTAGGAGCTACATGTATAGAGTCTCCAGAACTTAAATATCTACATCTGATACTACACTTTTTTTTTAAAAGGCAGAAAAAATGCCACATTGGGCCTTTAAACTTAAAAAAAATATGCAGTGAGATGTAAATGAATTTTAACATAAAATATAGCTTTTTATATATGTTTTAAAAACATTTTGTAACCAATTAAACACATCAAGACAATGAGACCTCTGACTGCAAAGTTTAGGCTCCAAGAGCTGATAGTGTTTAGAAGTAGGTGGAAATGCAAAAATAATTAAGAAAACAAAGTGAACTTTGATCTATCTTGCTTACCTGTAATGAAAGGGAGTGAGCAAGAAAAAAATGGTCCACATCAATGACAGAAGAGAGGAAACCAGCTAAAATGACTTCACTAAAGTCACTCTTCTTCCTGAGCCCAATCACTATCACCCAGGACCATACTCCCACCACACCGTGCACTCCATTATCAGAGAGAGCTCGGAGCCAGTCGTGTTGCTGAATGAAAGGGAACTGCAGAAGTCGGTCTGCTATGAAGCAGAACATTCCCAATCCTAAACTGGAAATAACTGAAGCTGTGCTGAAAGTTTGGAGAAGAGCATGAGCCTTTTCAGTCTCAGATGCCATAGCAAGTAACATGTCACTGTACACAAGATGCCATCAGGATACACGCAGCCCATTATCCTTTTAATCTTCAGTCATTCTGTAAATTATCAAAGAGAAAAGTCTTAATGAAGAAATGTGGCAACCAGCACTAAATACTTGTTAAACTCCACTATATCTGCAGCTGTAATAAAACATATCCTAATAGCAAACTCATTGCTCAAAATCTAAGATTCTCCAGAAATACTAAGTACAATTAACTTAATTCATTGACCCAAACAGTATGGATCTGAATCAAAAATTGTGTGCTGTTTTAATGAGAACAAACACACACTTTAATACACTCATGCATTGACTATCTTTTGACATTTCCAATTTCATAAAACAAAATCTGAGAATTATATCCAATCATATCCCAGACTTATTCCGAGATTTCCCCTTCCTTTCATATCAGGATTTTCACCACATTAATGCCTCTACTTTGTAGCCAAGTTGTTTTGATTCTGGGGTTGATTAGATCCTCAAAACCTCAGAGCTTTTTATGCTTTGAATTTCACATCACAACTTGCAGTCTTTCACTACTATGGGAAGTTTTTTATGCAGCCTCTTTCACCTCTAGAAATATTTTTATATAATGCACACACACCTGTTTCCCCCCTGCAATTTGTTAGCATACATACATAACAAAACTGCCTCTCAGAACACAGTCTTAGTTCTAAACATCTGATAGTTATGCTCCTGTATTATTTCAAAAATCTGTGGGAACACATTAGTTTCAAAGCATATTTTCTATTTAAAATGCACTCTTTACATGATGGTTGCTATCTCCTTATAATGCAGTAAAGCTTTGATAAGCATAAAGTCCTTTCTTCTACATTATTTTTTTGGTAAATAAATTTTTTTTTAATTGAATAAGACAATTTATTTTCATACTCATGTTAAGTGGTGCCCTTAAAAATGATTTTTGAAAGACATTGTTATGAAATTTTTCATGATTGCAAATAAGTTCTTTATTATAAACTGTACAAAAGTTGAAACTGAAATAAATTTTCTTAACAAATATTTCTTCCATCCTAAGCACATGCAAGTGTATTGTAAGATTGTCCAAAAGTGCTTCATATGCCAGACATTCATTTTTAAAGAAAAAAGTTCATTGAAGCATTCATTTGAAAAAAGAATGAATAATACATGAACTTTGCATAGAGATGAGAAAAAGTAGGTCAAGTTTAGAGCCTGTTAACCATGACTGTACCCCTTCAGAGTAATCATGTAACATGAACTATTTTCTGCAGCATGTCTTTATACTTTTTTAAAGATTCATAATTTAAAACATCACACTTTGAAGAATTAAATTCCATTTTTTTTTCCAGTTTAAGAAACAAGTGACCCCAGCATCTCCCAAACCTTTTCCTAGCCAACCAAGTAGCAGCACTTATTAAAGAAGTGGTTCGCACAGCGTGGAGGGTAGGGGAGAAAAGAGCTGGAAAACTGGAGAAATATAGTTAAAAAGACCACTTCTACTTGATTTCCATGTCAGATTGGATGTTGTCTCAGCTCACAATATACCATGCACAGGACTCCTGTTTAGGAAGAGTTCATTAAGAGACATTAAAAGCTCTTTGTACGTACATACATATGCATGCATGCACAGTTGGAGTAAGTGGACACATCTCTATTTACTTCATTGCAGTTGCGTCAACTTACTTCAATAGCAAATTTGGCTTACAGTCCACAGATTATAGCATTTGCACCTGCTTGCTGTACTCAAATCATTTTGGGATATTCACACTCCCTACTTCTGACTACAGAGGTAAGGAAATACATAAACAGTCAAATCCCAATAAGCACAGACAGCTGGTCCTGTCTTTGCACAAATCAAACCAAGTAACAGTAAGCACTCACATAGCACAGAAGCTTTACAAATGTTTTACAAAATATATATGAGCACAGAACAGAAAATCAAAATATGGAAGAAACCCCAACATCCCCGTTCACCAAACTTTTACCTGATAAGTTCCTAAACAAATATGACCACCAAATGAGAAATGACATAAACTAGACCACAGATGACCTATAAAAGACTCTGGATATCAACAAAACTTAACATTTTTTATAATTGATCGTTAGTTAAAGATAGAAGGCACTCAGGAAAACAGATAACTTGCTACAGAGGAAACCCTCCCATTTAAAACACAAGTGCCTATTTCACACTAATTTGACATTTCATGACATTATATTCAGAACATCCAGAACTGTAAGCTACCTTACCTCAGCAGGTGAGAGCTCTGCTGGAGATTAGACTGTGGGGTAGCTGTGGGGTAGCCCCACACCAGCAAACTCCAAGATTCTGCTAGTTTAAACCTGGCCTTGTAGGTGATAATCAATGAATACCAGTTCCTGAGAGATGTCTTTCTGCAGTGTCCAGGCCCGCTCACTGTGACACACAGAAAAATAATTAAATTCATTCACTCCAAAGAGACAGTGTACACAACAGCCTGTTAGGTTAGGTGAAGACTCACACCACACTTTAATACACAGCAATGAGACTGTTTTGTAATGAAACTAGAACTAATTTATTAATGAAGAACAGAATTTAAGTGATACTAACCAAGAACAAAAGAGACAGGTCTGGTTACAAACAAAACATGCTTTCTAGTATACAAAATTTAATAGATTATAATCCTGCTCTCAGGCAATTACTCACCGATAGTCAGTTCCCAGAGACTTCAGCCCACATGGTTGAAGGATCCACCTTTCACAGATTCCAAGAACTTCGGGCCTCTTTTGTCCCATAAGTGTTGTATAACTAGAACATCTTTTTGCTTCTTCTTATATTTTCCAGAGTCCATTATCTCTTTGCTTCTTCTTATATTTTCCAGAGTCCATTATCTCTGTCTCAAGAGCCAGGAAGACTTCCTGGGGGTGCAGACTCGGCCCCCGGTCTCAGTAAACTCCTTCCTCCATTTCTTGATAATTTGATTGCTTTGTTTACCTTGTATGTGTAATCCTTCTGCCAGGTGGAGCCAGCAGCAACAAGGGCTGCGTTCAATATCTAAGGGTTCCTCTTGAACAATACAACACAGAACTGGCTCAAGCCCATACCCAGTAACCTGGGAAAATTACACACCACCCCATGGCACCTCTGAGAGGCAATACTTCCGCACTCACAATCACAGAGTCTGAGTGTGGAAAAGAAACTTTTAATGAAAGGAAGGACATCACCTGACATTAATTAGGGAAAATGCCACAAGCAGAATTCATAATCATAAAACTGTGAGGAGGACACTCACCCCAGAGTGCGTAGGGCAGTGCCTTCTGTCTCATGTTCTTGAGTTCTACAACCAAAAGTTCCTTTTCTGTGCCCCTCTCTGATCCCTCACCACACTCCACTCACAGTTGTTGTCCTTGGTCAGTGAGGATCCAGGGTTCAGAGGTGCACCTGTGTGAGTTCACTTCCCACCTGGGAAGAAGGCACCTTGCTTGCTCTGCCATCCGAACACTTGCTCTGGCCAGCCACCTCGCCAGCCGCTCGTTCACCTACCGACTCGCCAGCCGCTCGTTCATTGGCTGATTGTCAGTTATCTTCTGTTGCCTCCTGACTCTCTGCTGTGACCTCTGCATATCAGTCTCTTAGTGATTTTCAGCTCTTTGCAGACTGGACAGAAACACTGCCCCACCAAAAGTGATTTCAGTTCTCATTTGAGCACTTTGACATAACAAAAGGCTCCTAATGAAGCCTAATTAGCTCTATCTTTGAACAGTGGGAAAGAACAGACTGGTGGCCCATAGGAGAGGCCATACCTCCTGGCTGGGACACCTATCCCCACCCCTCTTACTCTCACAGGGGTCTGGCATTCGAGCCCCTGATTTACAAGTTCCGTTCAGCTGAGGATGACATCTCAACTGGGACAAGTTCAGCACAGTTCTGCTCTCCTTTAGTCATACAATGAAGTTAACATTGATAATATTTCTCTACCCCTGCATGCCATACTAAAGTGATTTGTAACCCAACACCAGCCAAAGCTTGGAGCTACACCACTCCTATCTGCTAGATACCTACACAGAGTAGGTGTGTCTGTGTAAATACAGTTTGCTCCTGAAGTCTCTCCCCTTCCCGAACTAGCTGTCAGGGGAGAGCTCATTCAGACCCTGCTTACATCTGTAATGTACTTTTACTGTCCTCTGCCTATAATTAAGACAGACAGGTGAATCCGTATTCTTTTGTCTAGGACAGGATGGGTTAATGCATTGCCTCCCAAATGCATTTAAAGAACGTATTTCCAGCACACATGCATAACTCTTTGTACTCAACGTGTACATACATCACACAATCATTTCTGGAACCAGCATGTCACCAGTTTACATATGATACCTCACATGATACATTTTAGACACATAGTATGATACTTATGTTGGGTGTAGTGAATGTGTCAAGCCTGATATGCATTGCAGTATAGTGGGCCTGTGGGCATTTAGGGGCTCTTTCACCTGCCATTTTGTTGCCTAGTCACCCAGTTCTGAGAGACCCTTTGGAGCTCTTTGCAGCCTGCCTGGGACCGCAAACGTGAAATTGCAGCACTACTAACTGTAGTCTGTAACCTGTCATTTAAATCAGCTTCTGTACCAAATGACTGGAGGATAGCTAATATAGCTGGACCGCTTAGTAACAGTGATCATAATATAATTAAATTTAACATCCCTGTGGCGGGGAAAACACTACAGCAGCCCAACACTGTAGCATTTAATTTCAGAAAGGGGGACTACACAAAAATGAAAGTTAGTTAAAAAGAAATTAAAAGGTACAGTGCAAAAAGTGAAATCCCTGCAAGCTGCATGGAAACTTTTTAAAGATACCATAATAGAGGCTCAACTTAAATGTATACCGCAAATTTAAAAACATAGTAAGAGAACCAAAAAAGTGCCACTGTGGCTAAACAACAAAGTAAAAGAAGCAGTGAGAGGCAAAAAGGCGTCCTTTAAAAAGTGGAAGTTAAATCCTAGTGAGGAAAATAGAAAGGAGCATAAACTCTGGCAAAAGAAGTGTAAAAATATAATTAGGAAGGCCAAAAAAGAATTTCAAGAACAGCTAGCCAAAGACTCAAAAAGTAATAGCAAAAAAAATGTTTTAAGTAAATCAGAAGCAGGAAGCCTGCTAAACAAACAGTGGGGCTACTGGATGATCAAGATGCTAAGGAGCACTCAAGTATGATAAGGCCATTGTAGAGAAACTAAACAAATTCTTTGCATCGGTCTTCACAACTGAGGATATGAGGAAGACTGCCAAACCTGAGCCATTCTTTTTAGGTGACAAATCTGAGTAACTGGTCCAGATTGAGGTGTCATCAGATGTGGTTTTTGAACAAATTGATAAACTAAATAGTAATATGTCCCCAGGACCAGATGGTATTCACTCCAGAGTTCTGAAGGAACTCAAATGTGAAATTGCAGAACTACTAACTGTAGTCTGTAACCTATCATTTAAATCAGCTTGTGTACCAAATGACTGGAGGATAGCTAACATGACTCCAATTACAGGCCAGTAAGCCTGACTTCAGTACCAGGCAAACTTGTTGAAACTATAGTAAAGAACAAAATTATCAGACGAACATAATTTGTTGGGGAAGAGTCAACATGTTTTTTGTAAAGGGAAATCATGCCTCACCAGTCTACTAGAATTCTTTGAGGTGGTCAACAATCACATCGACAAGGGGGATCCAGTGGATATAGTGTACTTAGATTTTCAGAAAGCCTTTGGCAAGGTCCCTCACCAAAGGCTCTTGCGCAAAGTAAGCTGCCACGCAATAAGAGGGAAGGTGGTCTCATGGATTGGTAAAAGATAGGAAACAAAGGGTAGGAATAAATGGCCAGTTTTCAGAATGGAGAGAGGTAAATAGTGGTTTCCCCCAGGGGTCTGTACGGGGCCCAGTCCTATTCAACGTATTCATAAATGATCTGGAGACAGGGGTAAACAGTGAGGTGGCAAAATTTGCAGATGATACAAAACTACTCAAGATAGTTAAGTCCCAGGCAGACTGCAAAGAGCTACAAAAGGATCTCTCAAAGCTGGGTGACTGGGCAACAAAATGGCAGATGAAATTCCATGTTGATAAATGCAAAGTATTGCGCATTGGAAAACATAATCCCAACTATACATATAAAATGATGGGGTCTAAATTAGCTGTTACCACTCAAAGAGATCTTGGAGTCATTGTGGATAGTTCTCTGAAAACGTCCACTCAATGTGCAGTCGAAGTCAAAAAAGCAAACATAATGTTGGGAATTATAAAGAAAGGGATAGATAATAAGACAGAGAATATCGTATTGCCGCTATATAAATCCATGGTACGCCCACATCTTGAATACTACGTATAGATGTAATCGCACTGTAACATTACACTCCATATTCTTATGAAAATATGATTGTGGTAGGAATATGACATAACTAAGATATGCTTTATGCAAGATAACTCTTGTAAGCTATCATTGGAAAGGTTATAATTTACTGAATATGATTATCCTATTTGTATGCTTGTATCATTTCTGTATCTGAAATTAGGACTATTGACTATGTATTTGTATTTCAACTATGCTACTCTGGGTAACACTCACTACTAACACTTCAGGTACAACAATGAAAAAGCCCAACAGTGCTGACGGCCCATCAGCAAGAGACAATGGACAGTAAGAGAGCGTAGCCTTCCTGTGAACCTGTGAGTCACCCTGTGAAGAATGGCCACAGGGTCCCTATAGGTTTTAGGGTAGCAGCCGTGTTAGTCTGTATCCGCAAAAAGAAAAGGAGTACTTGTGGCACCTTAGAGACGAACAAATTTATTTGAGCATGACCTTTCGTGAGCTACAGCTCACTTCATCGGTGAGCTGTAGCTCACGAAAGGTCATGCTCAAATAAATTTGTTCGTCTCTAAGGTGCCACAAGTACTCCTTTTCTTTTTGCAGGTAAGGTGAGCTATTACTAGCAGGAGAGAAAAAAAAAACCTTTTGTAGTGATAATCAAGGTGCTGGAAATGGCCCAGTTGACAAGAATGTGTGAGGAACAGTAGAGGGGGAAAATAAACATGGGGAAATAGTTTTACTTTGTGTAATGACACATCCACTCCCAGTCTTTATTCAAGCCTAATTTAACGGAGTCCAGTTTGCAAATTAATTCCAATTTAGCAGTCTCTCGTTGGAGTCTGTTTTTGAAGTTTTTTTGTTGTAATATTGCCACTTTTAGGTCTGTAATCGAGTGACCAGAGAGACTGAAGTGTTCTCCGACTAGTTTTTGAATGTTATAATTCTTGACGTCTGATTTGTGTCCATTTATTCTTTTACGTAGAGACTGTCCAGTTTGGCCATTGTACATGGCAGAGGGGCATTGCTGGCACATGATGGCATATATCACATTATTAGATGTGCAGGTGAACGAGCCTCTGCTAG